ACCAAACCCTGAAAAAAAAAAAAACATTATGGGTGGTTTTTCTAAGTTTTATGCAGATTTTGGCCTCATTTGTATTAATCCCTCTTCAGTAAGTAGGAAAGATCTGACGAGGAGGAAGAAGTGGGCAATGGGACGTTTGGAGGGAGGCAAGAAGGAAGAGACAGTGAGTGGGAAGTAGCGGGGGAGGTGGAGAGGAGCATTCTGGGAAGTCTCCAGCAGTGAGGCAAATCCAGGTGCCAGGTGCTGGGCATGGTACTACACACACCCTCCCTCATGTAACTCTCTCAACTGCCCTGTGAAAAGACAATTTCATCCCCAACCTTGCAGACATGAGGCTCAGAGAATAATACTTGTCCGTGGGCTCCTTGACGTACGAGGAAGAGCAGGGGCTGGAAGCTCCATTAGAAAATGAACTCTGCCTCCCTCTTCCTCAGGCCCTTCTGTGCATTCTGAGTGTCTTCAGGCCCGTATCTTGTGGTTTACTTTCCCTTCCAGGTAGGAAACTTATCTTCTGGTTTAAAGTCCTCACTTTCTTCCTAGATAAGGTAAAGTTTTCCCTCGGTGAAGAAGCCGCCCCCTTGGGCCTAGGTCCACCTAGAGCAGACGTGTGGAAAGCTGTGTTTCGGAGGCCATGGCTTAACTATCACAGTCCCCCTACATCCTAGTTTCTCTCATTAATCCGTGGGATCAAAGACTGGCGAGATGAGGCGGCCAACGCATCCCCGTTTCCCTGAGGCTGCCCTTGGCCCTTCCATTTTTTACAGAGGAGTATCAAGACGGGTTCTAAGTAATTTATCTTGGATTTTGTTCACTGGGGCTTTGGAAAACAAAGTTTGATTTCACAACCTGGTAAGCAAACTTACTCCTCGAGTTCACGTAGTTCAGTCTCACCTTCGGTCCTTGCTCAATTGTTTGAGGTCCTGGCTGCCTGCCAGGATGATGGGTCCTGGCTGACCTTCCCCACTAAAGACAAAAGTGTCGCTTCTTGCAAAACAGGCCTGGCTTTCACTTTTCATGAAAACATGACAAGCCGTTAGTGCCGCTGACGGGCCCAGCCAAGGGTCTTTCTAAACCAGGTGGTGCCCTTGGCTGCCAAGTATGTAGGCGACCTCGAACTCCACAGGAGGGCCTGCCATAGCTCAGCTCCCTTGTCCTATAGGAAGTGTCAAGATCTGATGGCCTAAGCATTGAGAGAGAGTGAAAACTCATCGCTCTACTTCCCTGAGAAAGGCAAGGAGCATGGGACCATTAGTAATCAGATAGTTTTCAAAGCACATTAAATCAGCTAAGCTAACTATTTCAACATAGGCCCATCATTCCAATTGTTCTGACATTTTCCAGAAAGCTCTTTTTCATTGTTAGGAAATAAAAACCTAGAAATACCTGTATGCCAACCCATCAAGGGAACAACCGCTATCTCACCCAATATTGTACCTGCAGCCACCCCAGTTGTTTTGACCTTTCTACTTCAATGGCTGACTGCAACACTGGAATGCTAGACCTCACCCAGATGGTGACCTTGATGGCCAGCCCCACTGGGACAGGTAGGAGTTAGCCCCTCCTGCAAGTTCCCAGGTGATGCTAATGCTGTTTGGTCCGGGGACTACACTTTGAGAATCACTGCTCTACATCTAACAATGCAGAGGAAATGCAAGAGGCAGAAGAAACTGTTAACACCATGAGGATGCACTGAAACAAAATTCAGACTCTGAGGAACAGATCATTCCTTATAATTTATAAGGGAAAAAAGGCAAGAAAGAAAAACCAGAGATTGAGGACTTAATAGGCACAGAGAGCACGGCCAAGATGGCAGAGCACAGCCTTGTTTTGCGCGTGGAGCTGGATGCCCACGTTTACCAGATGCTGCCGTGGCCTCCGGCAGCAGATACAGGCTGGAATTTGGCCCAATCTGCCTAGACTGGTCATGGCCAAGTCACTTTAATAGGGAAGAGTGCCTATGTCAACTCGAGTATGAAATATCACGTGAGCTCTCTGCTCAGGCACCAGTAGACTATCCCGGCGCTGCTGAGGAGACAGCGACAGATTCTAGCTTCTACTTTGTAATCTGGTTCCCGGATTGACACTGGGCATAGTGCTTTCATTGGCATTCCCTTCATACGTCAGGACAATGCCTCTGACTTTAATATCTTTTGATGAATCATTTCAAGTGAGTAAAACAGGTATCTGAGATGTCCAGAGGATCTGAAACCAAATATGGCTATGGAAAACCACTCCCTCGACTTCCTGTAGCATAGGATATACAAATTACATGTATTTAGCTATATTGTATTCAATTATTGTTGCACTTAGCTTAAAATAAGGATTGCTATTGTATTTAAAGGAATCAATGAATGTTACTATTTGTGAAACTGAATATTTTGTGTGTGCTTATAAACATTACCTATAAATCAGCACTTGGGAAATTTTTACTTTCTTAACCTATTAATACCAGGAATTAAATATGAAAAATTAAATAGAAAAAAAAATGACGCTTGGGGCACAAATCTTTGAAAGGTTGGAACCCCTCCGCCTCAGCGTTTGTAAGTCCAGGATTTTGACAGGGATAGGAATGGAGAAAGTCGTCTTTCCTGGCCAGTGTTCCATACTCTCCTTCACCATATCCAGTGCTGAGTACAGCTCCATCACCCTCCCCTGTGTCCATGTCTCTCCCTATGAAAAGAGGGTGTGTCCGTGGCTCCTCCTCCATTTTCTGTTGGCTAAAAAGGCGCATCTTGCCAGGCCAGTGTTGCTAAGTGGTTAGCATTGACCTACGAATCAGTTTTGATTCCCAGTCAGGGCACACGCCTGCGTTGTGGGCTTGATCCCCGGTAGAGGGCCATGCAGGAGGCAGCCGACCAATGATTCTCTCATTATTGATGTTTCTGTCTCCTTCTCCCTTCCTCTCTGAAATCAGTACAAATCTATTTAAGAAAAAAAGGAAAGTACAACATCTTTGGATGAGTTGGAGTTAGTTTCAGCTATTTGACAGGTTCCCCAAAGTGAAGGCTTTGATACCCATCACCTAGAAGAGCATCTCAAAATCAAAGTATTCTCCATCACTGTCCCTTCCCACTGCCCAGCCTTTTCACATACAATCCTTCTCAGCGGGGTGGCACCATCTAGTTGGCTCAATAATGGGCAACTTGAGGCAGAAACAGAGGACAGAACTTCTTCCTATGGCACCTATTTGGAGGCTTTGTTGAAATCTAATCCCCAAGGTGACGGTACTTGAAGACAGGACCCGTGGTAGGTAATTAAGTCATGAGTGTGGGGACCCCGTGAATGGGATCAGTGCCCTCAGAAGAGGCAGAGAGCTAGTGGACTTGTTCTGCTTTGTGAGGAAGTGAGAAGTCAGCTGCCTGTAACCAAAAAGCACCCTTTCCAGAACTGGACCGTGTTGACACCCTGATATCAGACTTCCAGCCTCCAGAACCGTGAGAACTAAAATTTTGTTGATAAGCCACATGGTTTACAGTATTTTGTTATGGCAGCCCAAGCTAGGACGGATGCTTACTTACACTTTGAACAAATGGAATCCTTGTAGTTTCAAAATACAGGGTGTCCCCCCAAAAATGTATACACACTTTAACAGCTGATAGTTCAATTCTGAAAATGAAAAGTCTTTTAGTAAACACTGCCTTTATAATTATTCAAAGTGTGTGTACACCTTGTTTTGGGGACACCCTATATTCTGTCCTTGACTTCCATCTTTTATCTCTTCCTAACTTCGGGTCCATTTTATTTTTTTATTGTCCTCCCCCTCCAGCAGCTCTATTCTTGCCGTGCCATGGCAGGGCATCTTTAATAGAAAACACCAAGGAAAATATCTATTCTCACCAGTGACTAAGTCCTGGGACACTGTTCTCCGTCTTCTCCATGTTGTGTTCTTTGTATCCTCAGGATGATAATATAGAATATATTCGAAGTGCTGACACACTGCAAACGAAGTTAAGACGTATACATCTAAAGCATATGTTGTATTGGTGCAATAATGGTCATCTAGAATATGGGACTCAAGAGACAACTATTTGTAGTATATTGTCTTTCTCTTGAACTTTACCCAAATACACATACTGCAAAACAAACATTTATGAGGCAATCAGGGAAAGGTGGACACTGGTTATGTGACGAATTACTTTTTAGGTAGTTGTCTTTTTCTAAGAGTGTTATCTTTTAGCACTAAAATACTTCAGAATGAAATGATGTCTGAGATTCACTTCAAAATAATTGGGGGGGAGGGGTGATTGAAAAAGGGGATATAGGTAAAAAAAAAAAGATCTGTCTTGAAATGATAAATATGGGCACAGGGAGATTCATAACACTCTACTTCCTTCATTTATATGTTGAAGTTTCCCATAATAAAAAGTAACAAAACTCAGGGTGACAGACATATTTATTCTGACTCCAGGTCTCACCCCAAACTTCCCAGCTCTGGAGAGGAACGGAGGCCAACACCAGGCCCCCTCCCCTGAGCACCCCGGCAGTCGTGCTGTCTGTCCCTGGAGCAGCGCTGCCTGGTTCAGCTGGCATGCGGTAGGGATGGAGGAAGGCTGGGTGCATGACATGTTTCTCAACATGCACAGAGGCAAGGGCAGAACAGAGCACGACGCCCCGGGAGGCAGGAGGGGCTTCTCGCTCTCACCCCGTGTCCCTGGGTGCCCCAATACTGAGCAGGGGCCGAGTCTCCCGTGCTGTGAGGCTTCCTTGGGTGGAACACCTGTGCTTCTGATTCACTTTCTCCCAGGCTGGGCCGGACGGAATTGGCCTGGGCCTCGCAGCTCCTAGGATTAGCTGCAGACTCCTGCTCCCCACAGTGGGAGCTTGACACAGGTACAGTAAAAATGGTCAAGCAGCCCTAACCGGTTTGGCTCAGTGGATAGAGCATCAGCCTGCAGACTGAAAGGTCCCAGGTTCGATTCCGGTCAAGGGCATGTACCTTGGTTGTGGGCACATCCCCAGTGGGGGGTGTGCAGGAGGCAGCTGATCAATGTTTCTCTCTCATTCATGTTTCTGACTCTCTATCCCTCTCCCTTCCTCTCTGTAAAAAGTCAATAAAATATATTATAAAAAAAAGGTCAAGCAGGTGAATTCAAGTTGGTTTGGGGGCAGGGGAAGTGCCACAAACCTCCGGCTCTCCCTCACACCTGGCCTGTTAACAGTAAGAGGAAACAAACAGGGCCTGGATGGCAGAAAATAAGATGGTAACCACGCCTGGAAACCAGCCAAACACTGGGGTACCAGTGACTGCCTATCTTTTGGGACCCAAAAGCTGGCTGTGTCGTGTGTATATGCTGGGAACGTGGCTGCGTGTATTTCATTTGTTCCCTATCAGCCTCTCCCGGGGATCCTTTTTTATTGTACCTGTGTCAAGCTTACTAGCTCTTTTCATCTTCCCCTGACAGTTACCTGAGGAAGGTGCTATTCATCAGCCTCATATGACAGATACAGAAGCAGGTCTGGAGGTTAACTTGCCCAAGCTCACAGCTGTAGGTGGAAGAGCCCCATCTTATGTCACAACTGCCTTCCTCAATGTTGGGGAAGATGCTGGCCCTAGAAATTGGCCTGAGAACCCCAAAAAGAGGGATTCCTAGGGGACAAAATTGAGACAGCTCATACCCTGCCACTGCCCACTGCCCGCCAGCCAGTCTACTTGTCACAACTGGCAGCTCTGGGTTTGGATGGAAGGAGCCTGTTACCATGTGTTCCATCCTCAGTACACAGAGGCCTCTTGCCCCACCATCACGTTTCCAGAAATCCCTCGGCCCATGAACAGCCCCCGTTATCATCCATGGACAGTGAGCAAGCTCCAGCTGCCTGCCATCCCCTGCTTGCCCGACCTCCCTGGCTGAACGTTAGGCACAGTAACACATGTGTGCTCTTCTCTCCGTCTCCACCACGACCCAGTTTCTGCTCCTGTGTCCACCAAGACTGCTCTAGCTGCTCACCAGGTCCTCAGATGCCACTTTCCAGAACTCAGCTCACTTGATCTCTTAGCTGCATAAGAAGCTGCCAATGACCTCTCCTTCCTGGCCCTGCAACACTTCCTCTGAGGGCCTCTGCTCTAAGTGGGTGTGGGCTCTTTAACGCTCAGGGCTGCGCAGGGCTCTGCATGTGTATACACACACACACACACACACACACGGCCCTGCACTCTCCTCAGGTGGCCTCCCCTGACTCCCAACCCTCTGGCAGCGTGCTCTGCCTTGACCAAGGCCTGTAGGCCAGTGCCGTTCTGCTCCCCTCACCAATTAATGACTCGGGGAATATGCCACGCTGTGGGTCATGGGGTCTGGCCTTTCAGTAGCCAATTAATACAGTCCCAGCAAGAGAGGGGATTGGACGTGCCACAGGGCAGACTGGGAGCGACAAAGGACAGGAGACAGGAGAGAGAGCAGGTAACTTGCTCTCCATTCCTCCATCAACCCCAACCTAATGGCCCAGCCAGGCACGATGTTTTTGTGTCGTCTATCCAGAAACATCACTGAAGCAGCGGCCACCTCGCTAAAACAAACCTCATGTTTTCTTCTCCTTCCCTGCCCAGCTACCCTCTCTCGCTGCTCTGGGATGGCATCTGCCAGTAAACCACCAGCACTTCAGCTTTGGCTCAGGTTCGGTTTTCTAAGGAACCTGAATTAAGACTGTGCCGTGCCCTAACCAGTTTGGCTCAGTGGATAGAGCGTCGGCCTGCGGACTCAAGGGTCCCAGGTTCGATTCCGGTCAAGGGCATGTACCTGGGTTGCGGGCACATCCCCAGTAGGGAGTGTGCAGGAGGCAGCTGATCGATGTTTCTCTCTCATCGATGTTTCTAACTTTCTATCCCTCTTCCTTCCTCTCTGTAAAAAATATATTAAAAATAAATTTTAAAAATCATTCTCCCCTTAAAAAAAAAAAAAAAAGAGAGGGACTGTGCCTTCCCCAAACCATGCTGGCAACCACCACTAACACACCCTCAGCTCATTCCCCAAACTGTCTCTCTAATCCGGACTTCCCTACTGACTTCAGACCCAAAAGACGTGTCCACTTGGACATTCTCACAGGCACCTCAAACTCCTGTCCAAAATGTCCTCCTGGGCTTTGGATGCAGAGATGGAGGACCCCTGACAGAGCTGTCAGTCTGTGTGAGTGGGAGACAGAGGGACTAATGTACAGAGAAAAGTGCTCGCTGGTACATAACCGTATCGTAGGAGCACACACTGAACAAGCGAGCCCGCCGCGCCCGGTGTGCGGGGCTCGAGGCTTGCCTGCGTGGACGCATGGCCTTCCCCACAGCCTTGTAAGGCATCGTTACCCCCATTCTGCCGCTGAGAAAGCAGATCAGTGATCAGAAACCGGGCTAAGGTCCCAAAGCAGCTACATCCACGCACGCCTGGGGAAACGTTCATAGTCTTTGCTGACATCAGATGAGCCCCTAACAGGCCACCGGGATTGGAGATTTCCTGAGGTGGCAATGCCCCCGCTGTCTTCATAGAGGAACAGGTCGGCTGAGGAATCGGTGGGATGGGCAGGGAAGTGGAGTGGAGGGAAGGAGCTGGTGGGCATTGTGGGCAGTAGAAGGCCTGAGAGAGCACAGGGGAGCAGAAACAGCAGGGGTTTCCTACAGCCACCCCACAGAGCAACGTGGAGAAGCAGCCCCACGAGAGGCGGGACGAGACCCAAATCAGGGATGGCCTCACGTGCCAGTCTAGTGAATTTCCATTTTAAATTCTAGTTGGAAGCACCATCTGAGGACTTAAAGCAGGGGGTGGCATGGCCCATCTGCACTTTGAAAGGTGCCTCTGGCACCAATGAGAACTGGTTGAGAGGCAAGGGAGGTAAAGTGACCAGTTGACAGACTGCTGAAGTTCCCAGAGAAAGAAACTGTACACAAAGGTAGCAGTGGAGGGTTGGAAAAAGGTGAGATTTAAGATAGTAATGAAGGAAAACCTGAACAGGACTGAGTAATTGAATTAGCTAAGGAGAGCGAAGAAGGCGTCAGAAATCCAGGTTTGTGGCTCATCACATCCAGGACATGGAAGATGATTTCTGGTTTAGACATGCTGATGTTGAGGGGCTCGACTGGAAATGTGCCCAGCACCATGGGCACCGGGATCCACCTCGGAGCCCCCTCGTCCTGCCGGCTTCCCTCCTGCCTGGGAGGGAGCACACAGCGGAGGGCCTGGCCTAGCTGGAGATGCTCCTAAGTGCTAAGGGGCTCTTCCTCCAACTGGATCAGAGACCGCGGGGGGAGAAGAAGAGAACTAGACTAAACTGGTGCTAAGCTCTAAAATGCTGGGGTCCTGGCCTAAGGGCCTCAAATCTAAGTGATTTCAGCAGGTCTGGGTCAGGGCCCAGAAATGTGTAAATTAGTTAAAGAAATGCCCCAGACACTAATTTGTAGAGGGACTTTGCAACTTCTATCCCTCCTTACCAGTCTGCTACTTTGGTCTTCCCTCACTTGGTCCATGTTCCCTCAGAGGGGCCCCAGGTCTCATGGGCAGACGCGGCCAGTGACTCAGAACGCTGGCTGGGGTGTGCCCACATCGTTAGCCCGGCTCCAACACTGGCCTGAAGAGCAGTGGGAGGCCCAGGAAGCAGGGGCTGCACACCCGCGCCCTCCTCGCTCAACAAATGAAGCAGGTGCCGATCCTGGGTCTAGCCCTTTCTTGCTGCTCAGAGTAAGACCCTGCATGTGACTCTGAGGGTCACGGCATCCACTGGTCACACAGAGGGGCCCCAAACACGGCACAGCATCCCTTCTCCTCCATCCTGCTCTGAACCGAATGACCCAGGACCCACTGCCAACACCACACGGAAAGCACTGAAGCACAAGTTGCTTTAATCAAGGGGTGAAGTCCTCAATCGGGGGACCTCACACAACCTTTGGTGGTGGGGTCCCAGACTGTCCCCCACATGCCCTGATGCCCCCCAGGAAGGAGGGAGCACCTGGCAGAGGCCGGGGGCTGGAAATCGGGAACCCAGGTCAAGGGGAGGACAGGGCATGGCAGGTGGCGTGAAGCTGAGTGGGGTCCAGAACA